GGGAGGCCCGGTGCAGCTGCAATCCATATCATAATCCAAGCTTGTATAAAGGGAGCAACATCCCACGCGCTCTGCAGGTGCTAAGCTGACCGTACGTATTATGTTGGATTTCAACTAATCTCTTCCCCAACAAACAATGGACAGCTTAGTTCAGGAGAATTAGGCAAACAATAGTTCAGTGGAAACTTGCTTAACCAGACCCACTGTGCTGACAAAACACTCCTCGACCAGTTTCATGGCACGTAACAGACGGCCTGAACCCGTGGCCTGGATTCCAGACAGTGGCTTGCTGGGAAAAGTCGAAGCAGGAACAAACCGGTACCATGCACCTGGGACTGCCCTAGCCAAGCAGAGGGCTTAGCTCCTCTGCACTGGCGGATGGACAGGGAGATGTACCGGCATGGGCATGCTGCCCAGTGGGTAGCTTCCTGCAGTAACGCCTCATGTTCCAGTACTGGGAACACCTGCTCCTCCTTGGAACCATGGCCCATCCAGCAAAATACAGAAGAACCGACCAGGCCTGAGGGGCTGGGCGATGCACAGGGGACAGGAGAGGGACGTGTGCTGGCACTCCAGGGCTGTGCTGTGGTTTCGACTGCACTAGCTTGACCGGCGCTGGCGTGGCTCTGTCTGTTCAAGCGGGGCATGACAGCTCCAGCTAGAAGCCCAGACGAACTCGGTGCCTTAAGGCATCCCATCCTCACAGCCGCCTCCTTGCAGCCCAAGGGCAGCGCGGGGCAGTTCCCACCCCAGGAGCAGCTGGCTGCAGTGTGTTCTCGGAGGGGATTTTTAAGCAGCCCCTCCTGCCAGTTTCACCTGAGCTGGCCTGGCAGAGGGGCAGTGGCCACCCGCGCTGACATATGCAAAGCTGCCAGCAATGTTCCTTTTAACCCCCAAGAGCAAGGCAAGTCCCCTCACCTCCCAGCTTCAGCCTGTTTGGCTCAGTGCAGGGGTGAGGTGTGTCCTAGAAGATGGAGTTAAAACCCCCAAACCGAACAGCACACACACTAGGGCCAGGGGTTGTGCAAGCTGTTTGCATTGCAGCCTCTCTCCAGAGCCCCCCTATTTCCCTGCTGACAGGTTGGGGGGAGTCCCCGTAGCTGCAACAGCACTTC